GCGGTCGCGGCCCCACAAGCTTTGGTACCGAAGATCTCAAGATCCGCCTACATCTCCTTGTCGCAGCCGCCAAGTGGGAGGACTTTGGCAACTGTAAACTATCCATTCGAAGACCTCCTCCAGGCTGGCACCAGGCTCTTCGTGCCGACCACGGTCTGGAGAAACGTGTCACTGTCACCACGATTCCACGCAAGGACTCAGAGCAGCCAAAAATCCTGTTAGACGCGGTCCTGGGCAGTGGATGCTTCACAGCCATGGGCAGCCGTGGTATTGTATGTGGTGTCTGGGAAGAGATGAAGGACAGCAATGGCGTTGTCGGCGTTGTTCCGGCTACGGGCCCGACAGGTGGCAACGTCAAGAAGTGGTGCTTCCAGTGCGCCAGCGTTGCAGAGGCAAGCTGGGTTCTGAGGCTTGTTCACCAGGAGGTCATGACAATCTAAGCAACTCTGCTGCCACCTCCTTCAACAGTTTATACCTTCTCTTGTATTTGATTGCAAGCACATTCACAATCTGGCTTATCCCCAGACTCATTACATTAGTCACTTTTCCTATTTTGATATCCCGGTGTTGCTCGGCACACCATCATCTTTACATTTGTTCTTATTATTCTCGATGCATGGCATGCGGCGAGACTTAACGATACCACATTTCCTCAAACCTTTTAATACGATTGTATATACCAATCTCGTTTCTGCGTTCACGCATCTAGACATGGGCGGACGGCGTCTGGATTGCAATGGTCTGGGCTACCGGAGAAGTCTTGGGCCAGGAGGAGTACATCAGCATGCATTTTGCAGATCATCATGAGGAGGACGTTTGGGGTTTTGTTTTCAGTGAGCATAGTAGGGGGAGCGAAGAGAGCATAGCGAGGAGAGAAGCATATAGTGGATGACAATTGAATCATATTTACACAACTTGCCCGATGTGAACTGTTCAAAAAATTGCAGATTTTTATCAACTCCAAACTAAGGGTTGCTTGCGGCTACTTCACCCGAAGTCATCATGAATCACAATGCTGTAAAAGACTGATATAGGATAAACCATGAAAATGAGCTCAAGACTCATACGTAGTATTTTAGTCGACCAAAACAACTCCATTCCCTATCCCGAGACTATATAATGCCGTCGTTAACTCTGCTTGTTGCTGTATGCAATGAGAGGTGGGATATTTTGATTGTTATACAAGAAACCCCATGTTCGAACATACTCCTTGATGCGGTCCTATGACCCGTCTTATTTTGTAAACGGAAAAGGACCACACCCTTCTATAGACGCGTAGCAGCTAATCATCCCAAAACACGAATACAATAAGTTCAGAAGGGGGACTTTGCCCCGTAAATGTAGAGTGTCGTAAGCTCATGAAATAGGAGTGATGGGTTGAGGTTTACCGCCATCGACGATAATCTGTTGGTGTATTCGGGCAGCAATGTCTCCGTATTCAAGACGTTTCCAAGTCTTGATACGAGCCTCGTTTGTGTCGACTTCAAACAAGCGTACTCGGCGATGGTAACCACCGTAGCCGGCGTAACCGCCGAAGCCAGAACCACCAGCGTAGCACATCCACATGGCTGGGACCTTGGTCTCGCCTTCACCCATCAGAGATAGAGAGCAGTAGTCATTGCAATGATCACTAAAATATGAAATTAGTTTTTTTCAAGTCAAGATAGGAATCCCAAAACTTACTGTCCTGCGCTGACCATAAGGACACCCTGCTCTACAAGGGCATCGCGGAAACCAGAGTTGTATATTGGGGCAGTGACTCCTTCTTTCCAGTCACCAACACGGGGTAGTTCCGGGTTAGCATACTCTGTCAAGGGAATATGAATGAAAGCGATGTCCATGTGGCGGCCGGTATACTCGTTGTGATTCTTCTTGAGACCAGCAGCAGTCTTCTTGAACCATTCTATTTGGTTAGGCTTAACCCAATCATAACCAGGAAAGTTGCGCTCGTCGGGCGAGTAGGCGTGCGTATCGAGAAGATAGATTGTCAGAGCAGAATGATCCGTCTTTCCACGGGCCAGGACTTCGATGTAGTAATTCCCAACACCCTCGATATCAGCTGGCCCAGCAATGGAGAGAGAATAAGGAAGAGTCTCCATAATGGCCATCTGTGCCTCACGAGACATGGTCTGTTCGTCGTCGTGGTTACCGAAAATGGCAGCGTAAGGGATCTTTCGCTCAATCAGGAGCGAGATGATCTTGAACATGGCCTAGACGGTGTTAGAGGCGAACACTATGATGTTGAGCCAGGCAATACTCACTGTAGGTGCATCTGGTGCTGTGTCGCCGTTGACTTGGTCGCCACTCAATATTACCAGATCGGGCTTCTCGTCATCAAGGACTCGGCTAACAAACTCCAGTGTCCTGGGATCCGCCTCACATTTACCGCCGTTGTAAGAATCAGGAACTGCCTCGCGGCAAACGCCAACTCCTGTACTTAGATGCAGATCACCAATCTGCATAATCTTGTATCGGCCATCACTGTTGATCCTGGGCGTTGGCTTCTTGACCTCTCGTGGAGGACCTCGGCGCACGGTCAGCTGGACAGAGAGAAGACTGCCACCGGTGTTGAGGAGCAAAGGTGTTCCCGTCACAGCATATCCGTCTCTTGCCTCGACAGCATCATCTCCGAAAAGAACATCAAGATCCGTTACCGCCTGCTTCGAATCGCTGGCTTTCTTCTTGGCTGAGCGCTTGATCCAGATACCTGATGGACGAGATTCCCATGAGTCGTCCGTTTCTCCCTTGGGTTGAGGTTGGAGCCTGCCGACCGCAACATCCACAACAACACGATCGTCCGCAGTGAGATCCCCCTCATGCTTTCGCATGATGTACATGTATGCGCTCGTTGTCCACGTCTTGCCGAGATAGAGCTCCTTGTCGATTCGGTGCCATTCTTTGCCGAGTTCGCATGAGGAGAAAGGGTTAACGCTTGAGCAAGTGACTATTGTGACATCGGTGACGACCAGTCCGGGGTGATGGGAGGGCATATAACTATGAATCGAATTTGGGAGGACACGATAATTACGGTCGAGAAAGGCGATAACTAGAAAAGTGAAAATGGCAGCGCCAGCGAGCTGAGCAGCTGTTCGAACCTAGTGATGGGAATGAGGTTAGTCAACAGCCTCCTCTGGATCAATACTGATCATGAATTTCCAGAGAACATGGGCCACATACAATTCTTCGGGTCATGATGTGGTAATAATGGGAGGTTAACGGGCTAACAAGAATCGCTCTGAATTTATCCAAGTATAATATTCAGGCCACTTCAAGGATGAACGGCCAGATAACGACGTTCGAAACGGGCATTCGGAGGTTTAATGGCAGGCCGAACTTTTCGCATCTTCTAAGGGGTCGGATCGGGGGTGCTATTGCATGATTCGTGGGGCCAAGTCGGTAATGGATATGATGGAATAATCCGCGCGGGTCTCTCGAACAGGTTGAAGCTATTGCAGCGGTCGCGAGGGTGTTCTCTACAAGTTGAGAGGTGATGGTTACAGATGTCGATATGAATTGAATGGGTGATGATGATGCGATCGACAGACAAATCGTGGGGACGGGAGGGGACAGTCCGTCCGTTAACACTAACTAACAATGTTGGTAGTTGTCGATGGAACAAGCGGCAATGCAGACACTATTTTACGAGAGAAGCAGTGAGATACTGTAGGCAGAGTCAAGAAAAGCAAAGCAACCTAAGGTAAGCAAAACACCTGACATTCACCGTAACAGGGGAAAGGAGGAACCAAGCTATTCCGCACCTTCCTGACCGTAAAAAAGGGCCAAAAGCCAAGAAATCGTTCAATTGTGATACTCGACCTTTCCCCTGGTGAACCGTCAAAAAAAAAAAAGGGTACTACCTAATAGAGAGGTACCTAGAGCTAGCCCATCAAGTGTGGAGCGCCCGGTTAAGGATCCGGATCTCGGGTTACAGGGGAGTATTTGAGTTTGTGGCTCTTTAATGGATGTGAATCGTTTACTTGAATATGGCTATTGTTTTGTTGCCATTTCTGAATATTGATGATTCATTAACAAAAATGTATTGAGACAACAGCTCATCTTCCGAAATGCCTCTACCTTGCATAACTCTCCTGCGAGCACACCTAAAAAACAGGCGTGCTCAGCTGTACAGGCCATTCTGGGGTTACATCAGTAGATGCACTCTCGATATGGCCACGTGAGGTGAGGCCCTCGGTTACCATCCAATACTGGGATCATGTGGCATCCTAAGCAGCCCTTTCTCTGGCTAGAATTTGTCTGTGCAGGCCGGTCTATGATGCTGCAGAATGTGCGATTTGGTTTGACAAGACAACCATACTCTGCTTGAGATACCGTTGCTCCATGAGTCGACTTGCATAAGTGAGGGTGTTGTTGTCTCTGGCACATCCTGCAATGCAATGAGACCTGATGATGCCAACGAATGCATAGGTAGTCTAGGTACAAAGGTAGAGAGAGTAAGTAGAGCTCTAGAAGCGGGCAACAAAGAGCTTTGTCGAGCTTCTTTCGGAGCTTCATGGCCCGTGCACATCTCCCTGTGAACAGAGGCAAACACCGTCAAGCCAATAAGAAAGCAAGATTGGTTTCATAATAGAGGGCGTCATTGGATACAGAACACGTTCAGTGGGATAATTGAAGCCAGGTTCGACAAGTCAAATAAAATAATACTTTAGGCTTCGCAATTCATATACATGCCAGGCATTCTTCAATATCGAGTCTACTATTCATTTATTTGTTTGGTTCGAGATAAGATAAAGAGTTTACCCTTGGCTGATTCTAGGGGATGATGCTTGTATCACTGTGGGTCGCTCCTATCCATTCTTTGTTTGAGGCGCGTACCTTGCTTCGCCCTCGTCCGCTTCATCGAAGCAACTCAAGCCTTTTTTCTTCTTCCATCAAACCATCGCAGCCCAAGTCGCAACAATTGAATTTCTAGCCGCGCTTCTTCTCCGATCCTGAAAAGTCTCCTAATCATTACTTAACGCGCTTCAATCGACTTGCGCAGCATGGCCGAATATTCGTCACTCAAGGTGCCTGAGCTGAAGAAGCTGCTGGCCGAGAAGGGTCTGCCTCAAACGGGCAACAAGGCGGATCTTATTGCAAGGCTCCAAGAGAACGATCGAGCCTCCGAAACCGCTGAGAAGCCCGGTACGTGACTCTATCAGACCTGCGATCGAACCCCTCGCGCGTCGCATCGCATCCACAACATTGGCTAATTGGACTCTTCACAGCTGAGAACAAGGAGGATGAAATCAGCTACAGTGATGACGAGGCTCCTGCTGCACCCGCCGCTGCCGCGCCTGTAGCCGCCTCTGAGCCTGTTGCTGAGGTTCCTGCCACCGAGGCTGCACCCGTCGAGGCCGCTAAGGCCGAAGAGATGACAGCAGAGAAGCCCGCCGAGACAGCGGAGCCTGAGAAGTCTTATGCTATCGGTTTACAATCCACCGCTGCTGACGACGAAGCCAAGAAACGTGCCGAACGTGCCAAGCGGTTCGGTATTGAGGAGGACGAGGACGCCAAGAAGCGCGCCGACCGCGCGAAGCGATTTGGCCTCGACGAAAAGGAGCTTGCTACTACTCTTGATTCAGCACTCCCTGAGCGCTCGCGAAAACGAGGCCGAGATCGCACCACTGAAGGTGAAGGCAACCGCCCTGGAAAGCGACAAAGCATGGACAGAAGGAATGGTGGTGGCGGTCGTCGACGCGGCCGTGGTGGTCGGGACGGCGGTCGCGATGGTGGCGCTCGAAAGGAGAAGACGTCTACCAGAAGTGGTATCCTTGATGACCCAACAGAGAAGGCCAAGGCAGAGAAGCGTGCTGCTAGGTTTGCTGGGAACTAGTAGTTCTCTTTATAACCAGTACGACATGAAATTTGGCAAGAAAAGGGTTTCAAATTGAGGATAGGCTGAAACTGGGCGGAGCAGGCAGACTTAGGTGAATGGACCATTTCTACTTGTACAACATTCTTATTTTCATATTCAGGCGCAGACTATCAAGGATAAATGAATAAAGAGGAAATCGGCGTCTTCGGTTCGACCAATGCCCACTATCAATCACAATCTCGAGGTCCATGGTAAGTTCTCTGTCTCCAGATCTAACCGGCTGTGATGAGCAGCCTTGGTAACAGTTCCGGACAAGACAACCTGATGCAAGGCAGCCGAATGGAACAGCAAGAAAACGTCAATTTGCAGTTTCTCAAACGGCCAGTCCTTGCACATAGCCTGAACTGGTCAATATCGAACCAGGCGTCCAAGTGTTCAGCTGTCCGATGACATAACGCCCCTATGCGGGAGCTTGGAGGGGGTGAGGAAAAGCACAAAGAATCGTCCGCCGGTCATACCTCGTCAATAGACGTCTTACCCCTATCTCGATGTTGTGCGAACACGGTGGCCTTGCGTAAAGCAAGATTCTACTGGGATCATCCTTCAAAATCGGAAGAATCCGCACGATCCGAATGGTTACACTTCAACTAAGGGGAAGCGGATCTTCAAGATTTTGCATCTCGTCAGACAGGAAGGGGCCCGATTAACTTTAACTATTTACTGTTAGTCTGGCCGCCGCCGGAACGACAAAGAGACTGGACTGTTCGGATACGAGCCGGAGATGGGGCCAAGCTGACTTGAAGCTTGACATGCATATCCACTAACACTCAACACCATGACCATGCCTGGGTCCCACTACATATACGGCGGAATTGAGCTTCCATCACGGGGATGCCTTCCTTTGACTCTAGCTCCCGTGAGACTTGTGCGCTGTTGCACGACTGCCGGTGCCGCGGTCCTGGTCTTGCGACGCCCCTATTCATGGAGTGCCACTTGTAGTGCAACTTACTTTTCTCCTTATGGATGGTTGAACTAGGAGACCTTTATGGAGGAGTGGAAAACGACAGAAGAATTTTCAGTCCTCTTTCTGGAAAAGGCGCATCTCTGGTAACAGCTGAGAAGTTACAGCTGGTGAGCGAAAGCCGGCCAAGCGGGAGACCACGTTATCTAAGTTCATCGTTGATACCTCATATTGGATAGTCCGACATGAGCATCATATCTGCAGCAAAGCACGAGACTCTATTTATCAGCCCTGTCAGCACTCAGGGATGATCCGAGTACTGGCGATTCGTAGACATCTGCAGCCATTGAGCAGATCGACGTTAGAGATGTATAGGAGAAGGGGCACACCTTGATCGGAAGAATGACATGTCTGGCCCAAGACTTCGGACCAAGGAAACACATTGTGAATAGCTCGAAAACGCCTGGAACCAACGAGAAACAAATACTCGCGGCTGCGCTAATCCCGCAATCCCAAAAGGGCTCATGGGTTCTTCAACGACGCAAGCCACGATCTCCGTTCTCGGACGATAGTTGCAGTCTCCGAAAGGGCCCGGACAAAACGTGCAGTGGCTGCCATGCCTCAATGGCCAATATTGGTGAGATGATGAGCAGAATGGAAGACACTATAAAGAAAGAAGGAAGCGAGATAGGACCATCATCACCAACAGCTCTGATCGTGTGGTTGTCAACATTCCCAAACGCTAAGCTCGAGCCAAGTCTCAGACAACAAGCCAATCAAGAGGGTAAAACCCCTGTTCTCGCGATAAAGCAGCCCTGGTCGCCGAGCCGTCTGGCGGCTATGGTTGGTAGAGGCGTCTAATCAAATGGACCACTCCGACTCCAGCGACTCCAGTTGCCGTTGGATGCTTAGAGCCCGTCGTTGTGCTCGAGGGTGTAGGCAGGCCCGCTTGATCATCGCAAGCGAAGAAATAGCTTCACAACCGAGAGTGCTGGGCTTGCGCATCGCTTCACATCACGGGCTGGCAAACATTGCAGTTTGATGAGTTGTCAATGAGGCAAAGCTGCACATCGGGGCCGTTTGCATGCACTCACCGCTGCCCAAGTAGAGAGTACTTTGATCTCGAATTCGAGTGACTTTGCAAGGGGACAGGACAAGCATCTCAGATGGGACCTTATTCGCTCGGCCGACTGACAAGCCACATGGACAGGGGGGACCTGGCCTGGCCTGAGTAGGGCTTGAGGCTTCAGGTACGGCTGCCGGAGTGGCCAGCCACGCGCGATCTGCCACGTCAGTGAAGGCATCTCAACTCCCAGAAATCAGGGTCACCAGCCTCAAGGATCTGTGAACCTGTGGCGGATATGGGGAAATTTTTCATTTTTGCTGTGGCGGAGCTGCATGCTGCATATGGGATGCCTCTCTTGTAGCCACTTTTGGAAACATGTTCACCAAATCATGCCGGGTCCTGCAGCAAGATCTAAGACTGATCCAGGTACGACATGGAATTCATGGACAATCGGTGAGATGTCGACGTCAAGACGCGTTTGCCGCCTTGCCAGCGCATTAATGATTCTCGCCTTGCCACTATCCAAGCTGGACGTCTTTCAGCTAGCCAAGCTTGCTCTAGAGACAGGGCCTAGCCGCACACACCGATCTGGGTCTTACTTGGAGGCTCTAGAGGCTCAGGCTCTCACCGAACGTTTGGGACCTGACCTCGTGATAAGGCTGCCAGCACGTATGAGAATCGGAGAATGCCTTGTGTCTTGGAATGACGTCGGAAACACCAGGATGGTGCGTTTCTTTTCGACTGCCGACCGTTTTGCCTGGGGTTGCTTTTTTGGTCTCGTGGTGTCTTGTCCAAAGTGCCTGTCACGAGACTAACAATGCATGGCGGTGAACTTTGACTGTCTGCCTACGTTGGCCAATACGAAGACGGAGACCTATATCGCGCAATCGCTCATCGCTTCGCTCATGACTGAACGATCCGTATCTTGTTGGATACCGTACCGACTTTGAGCTCCCTCTTCGCCATCGCCTCTACCGAATTATAGGACCCCATGTCAATAGCCAAGTGCAGGGGTCTGAGCAAGACATAGTTTTTTGCAGCGAGGATTGGCGAACGATGATACACATTGTGGATTAGTCGTTCACTCATCGTAGACTTTTTACAAGGAAAAGGACGACAGACATGCAGGAGAGAGGGTTATCATTATCCTGGGGTCCATTCTGACGGGTCATGGAGTGAAACGAGAGAGTGCGAGTGCGTGTGATTCATTGGTAGAAAATCTTTGAACAGCAACCAATGGCATCGATGAGTCCTTTGGCGATTGACACCCGTGGGCGCTTTGCGTTGGGATTTTCAACGAATGGGAGGGAGGGCGAGGGACGAGGCGTTCGTGTTTACGGGACAAAGCAAATTCGTAGAGCGGGATAAGGCGGGACGTTGAACGCTGAAGCTGTGAGTCCTATCCTGTCTGTTGAGTATCGTGCTCTAGTATCGTGAGAGGCGTGCAAACTGCTGCTGCTGCTGCTATCCCAACATTCTCGCGTCTAGCATAGACGCCGCAGAGAATGGTCCCATAAAGACGGACTCCTCTCATGATGCTATTCTTGTACCAACTTGGCCGCTACCTTGGCTGCAGATGCAACTCATGCAGCTGGTCTGGGGCTTGGTGTTTGACCGACAGGATCGAGGGTGTAGGTATTTCGCCCCAGGGATCTCTCACCCCCGGTCAGCGACCAACGACGACCAAGTCCTGCCACTGAAGGAGTTGATTCGAGGTCTTGGACTTCATGTCATATTGCGAAAATGGCAGGAAAGATATACAATTCGAGATGAATACTGTCAGATCATCCTACCAAGGATCCGATAATGATAGACTTTCCCTAATGCGGGGCGATTTTATAACGGGACTCGCCCGTTGGGACGGTAAAAGCTTACCCTGAATTCTAAAAATGTGAATGCCAGGTCCACTCATGGTTGGATGTGAAGGTCCATGCAGTAACATTACAGTCCAAGTTTTGTTGCTATTCGCAATCGAGATTACTACCCTCAATGAGATGAGACGAGACGAGACTATAGGCGTCTGGTGTTTGCTTACGCTCATAATATTGATCAACGGATCTGGAAGGTGAGGCTGGCTGTGGGCAAGACATTTCAGAGACATGCAGACCAGATTAACCTGTGGGAGAGGAACAAAGTGAGACATTTGATATGCATGTCTAAGACATGCATATGCCTCCAACGACGTCGCATATTTGTGCTGAAGAACAAGAACAAGGAACAAGCGCCGTCCGTCATGTTTCTACTCTAACTCGGAGTCACGGACAGTTTCCTACTCCCCATCGAGATGATGATACCCTGCTCCAAACTCTCATTGTCTTGACACCCACGGCTCTGTCCTTCGGCTCCGGACATAGATTCACGACCCCTGACTATTGGAAATTCGAGACGTCGAGAGAAAAGATAATCAGTCACTGGGAATACCATTCCTGCCCCCCCTCACACAGCTTCATCATCTCCCAAACGGGACGCAACCACCAAATATCAGGACTATATACCCTGCACCCGCATCAGTTCTTGGTCAGGCTTTTTTCATATGAGAGAGGTATTAGACTATGATTCGACGTTATCTTTCCATATCTGTGTACGCACTCCTCCTTATTGTTTACCCACCCTTTTGTCTGTCTCTCCTCCAACATCTCGGGTTATAACTGGAGATCCAAGATTAGTCCATGATGAGCGGCCATCGGCCCATCCCTTTCTGGCCCACTCTACTAACTATGTAAGTTAACTAACTAATGTCAACGGTCCAGCCCAGCCCAGTTCAAGGTTAACCAGTCGTTTAAAGATGTCCTTCTCTCACGTTTCCGTCTCTGTCTCTCTTGGTCTCTCTCTTTGTGAAGCCCCACTATGGATAGCCCACACCAAGGGTCCTTCAAGGTGACCAGGATTGGGAGTGCAAATCGCTACAAGGGTGTGGTGCCCAATCACTGCGTCAAGATGCCATGAGTGCTTTCTCATAGGATAATATGGATATGCACCCCGAAGGAGGGA